AAGAGGGGATCCCCAGTCACTGCCTTCCCACATTGCTGAATGACCTGTGAATCGTATCTGTGGAAGGGAATCAAGGCAGGTCAGCTAAAGAAGTTAAACATCTTCACTAACAATAAAGCTGCTACCCAAGAAACAAAGTTGGTGGTATAAGCCTAGCAGAGAAAATTGCCTGCTAGAGCAAAGGAAATAACATTTATTGGGAAATAATATCAAAACCCAGAATGTCCAGAAATTAGTATATATACATACAAATAACCAAGAAAATGGAACACATGCTCAACATAAAAGGAAGTTAATAGTTTGACCTGGAAATGGAACAGACTTCTGGAACTGACAAAGATTTTTTGAAAGCTATTACAACTATCCTCAACGAATTAACATAAGCCTGTTTTTCAGTGAATGAAAATCTCAGCAGAGAAATTAACATAAGCCCGTTTTTCAGTGAATGAAAATCTCAGCAGATGGTTTGCTGCACCCATCAACCCGTCACCTACATTAGGCATTTCTCCTAATGCTATCCTCCCTCCCCTAGCCCCCCACCCCCTGACAGGCCCCAGTGTTTAAAAAATTAATTAGGAGAATAATAAGGAAAGCCACACCCTGGTAAATAATTTTTAAAAAATACATCTCAGACAAAGACTCATATCCAGAATGTTTAAAGGACTCAGTAATAAATTGTAAAAAAAAAAAAAAAAATGGACAAAATTTTTTAAGATACTTTGCAAAAAACCTGCAAATGACCCATAATCACATGAAAAGATGTTCATTATTACTATTTATCAGTGAGATACCACTACACACCTGCTAGAGTGGCTAATGTTTAAAAGACTGATTTTGCCAACTGATAGCGAAAAAATGGTGTGCATGTGACTCTTACACAATTGATAGTGGAAATGCAAAATGGTATAGCTACTTTGGAAAATAGTTTGACAGTTTCCCATAAAGTTAAGTGCAAACATATACCATATGACCCAACAATATAATAGCTACAATCTGGTAGCAGTCTAAATTCTCACCAATGCATGAATTTGAATGCATAAAAATTGAAGTCTATCAGTCCACTAGACTACTCTTTTGCAGTATAAGGGAATGAAACATTAATACATGGAATAACATGGATAAATCTCAAAATCATTATGATGAGTGAAAGGAGAGAAACACAAAAGACTGTGTAATGTGTGATTCTATTTGTAAGAAATTCTAGGAGAGGCAAACCTATCTAATGAACACAACAGATCACTTGTTGCCTGGGGCTACTGATGAAATAGATGATCCACAATAAAGGGGCATAGAGGTCTTTCACATCCTTTGTGGATTTATTTCTAGATAGGTTATGTTTTGTGTTATTTTTGTCAATGGATAAATATAAAAACTCATGGAAAGATGCTAAAAAGAAAAAAGTAAATAAACAGAAAGGCAGACAAAGTACACAGAAGGAAGACTCAGTGTTGTAAAGGTGTCCAATTTCCTCCAAATGGAACTTTCAACTGAAAGAAATTTCAGTCAGTTTCCCAGGAGAATTCTTTACTAGTTTAACAGGCTGAATGTAACACGTATAATAAACAGCAAAATCCTAAGAAACACCAAACCCTTCGTGAAGGAAAATCATATGGGAAAACTTCCAGATAGCAAGGTGTACTACAAAGGTACATAATTTCACAGTGTAGTATCGATGCAGGAATGAGCCAACTCATCAGTGAACACATAAGAAAGTCCCATATGACCCAATGACTGCAGATATTGTTGCTGAAATATTATTGATGACATCACATCTTACAGAGTGAATAATGACCTTCTCAAATTGTACTGGAACAAATAGCTATAGATATAAACATAGAAAATTAGATTCCTACCTCACACCATACATTCATGTCATCTTCCAGTGAATTAAGTCTTTATTTTTTAAAGGAAAAGTAAAAAATGTTTCAGAAAAAATATAGGAGAATATTACTATGACCTTGTAATGGGAAAGTATTTATTATTTATGTCATATCAAACACAAAGGGTAAACATTTTTTACTACATTAATAATTTCTGTTTATCAAAATATTTTATATGTAAAATGAAAACCACAACTAATAAAATGGACTTTCAACACATAAAACTAATGAATATTTCATATGGGATGTATAAAAATCTCTTATAAATCAATTAGATAAAAACATTCCAACAGAAAAAGGTAGGCAAAATAAATACACCAATGAATTTTATAAAATAAGACAAAAATAGTAAATAAGCACATGAAGAGACTTTTAAAGTGATTAACACTCTGATGATGCAAAATAAAATCAGAGATACCATTTTTTGCACCCACTGTATTGGAAGATAGTAAGAAGTTTGAAAATAGCAAGTTTTAGACAGGATGTGAGTTATGAGAACTCATTCACTATTGGTGCCTGTTAAAGTGCCATAACCACTTTTGAAAATAACTTGCAAGTTTAAGAATTCCCATAACCTAGGCAAAACCCCGTCTCTACTGAAAATACAAAAACTAGCTCAGTGTGGTGGTGCAAGCCTGTAATCCCAACTACTGGGAAGGCTGAGGCAAGAGAATCACTTGAACCCGGGAGGCAGAGGTTGCAGTGAGCCGAGATTGTGCCATTGCACTCCAGCCTGGGCAACATGAGTGAAACTCCATCGAAAAAGAAAAAAGAAAAAAGAAAAGAAAGGAAAGGAGAGGAGAGGAGAAGCAAAAGCCTTGTACATTTGTACCAAAAGAGGTAAAGAAGAGTATTCCTAGTAGAATGGTTTGTAATAGCAATAAAACTAGGAATGACTGGTATCCATTGTAATATACACTTGAGTCATGTACATCAGTGAGAACTAAGAGCCAAGATAGTATGGACTATTATATTCACCTTAGAAATATGATATAATATAAATTACTGAGGAACACAGTAAATATCACCTTATTAAGCTCAAATGCAAAAAAAAACTAAACAACATAGTATTTAAAGGTACATAAACATGTGATAGAACTGTTAAAAGTACTGGAACGATAAAATTCAGGAGAAAGAAAAGCAATCATATGTTCCAATTCTGAAATGGTCTCATTGGTTTCCATTGAAACAAGCAGGTTTTATGTACCTCAAATGTAGTACAGCATAATCTTTTTTATGTATGTATTTACTTTAAGTTCCGGGATACATGTGCGGGATATGCAGGTTTGTAACATAGGTAAACGTGTGCATGGTGGTTTGCTGCACCTATCAACTCATTACCTAGGTATTAAGCCCTGCATGCATTAGCTATTTATCCTGATGTTCTCCCTCCTCCTGCCCCCCTGCAACAGGCCCCAGTGTATGTTGTTCCCTTCTCTGTGTTCTCATTGTTCAGCTCCCCACTGCACACTCTTAAACAATCATTATGTTTCACTGTGATCAGTAATGTGGGGGTGGGGTAAAAGCAGAGAACTTGGAACTCCTGAGCGGGGGTCAAAGGCCATAAATCTTCATCCACTGAAGGCAAAGTTGATATTTAGAAATTCATTCAAAGTAAAAGCTAGTGAACAAAGGGAGATAAGGAGATAATTAAGTAGTAACCTTTTTTGCAACTTACATAACTAACAAACTTAAGTGCTTTCTAAAAAAAAAAAAAAAATTCTAAAATTTGCTATTTGAGGGCAACTTCACTGAAATGATTGCAGAGGTTTCCATGTGAGTACTTGTAATGGGAGATAGCTCATTCGATAGATGCACCTTGGTGTGTTTGCTTAAGAAACAGAAAAATTGACTCATTTGATTTGTTCATGAAAGTATTACCAGGAAAATAAATGAAAACAATTTCACCTAAACATCTGTTAACTTTAGTACTGAATCTTTGGATGTAATTTACATAATTCGTAAAATAGATTGATCTAGGTCCATGTCGATGATGAAATTTTCATTATAGTGATAGACTTTCATTTTCCTCATAAAATCTACACATACTTAAATTATAACAACTTCTGCTTTTGAATTAATCCAGTCTGCATCATGTTTTTCAGTCATCAACTATTACATGTGAAATGCCTTTACCATCAAACTGGCTCAAGGTTACTGCCTTCACTCAGAAAAATAGTGTTTTCCTTCTCCCCACTGTGGTCCCTGCCTCTCAACCTACAACCCTACATTTCAGGAAGTAATTTTCCCGTATGAAATTTTCTTACTGTCTTCGACGGTAGTGGCTGCAAAATGGTACCTATCTCTGCTTTTATTTTGCATCATCAGAGTGTTCATGACTTTAAGAGTCTATTCATGTGCTTACTCACTATTTTTGTTTTATAACATTTCTTGGTGTATTTATTTTGCCTATTTTTTTTTCTGTTGGAGTGTTTTTATCTCATTGATTTTGGGGAGTTTTTTTTTTTTTAATACAACCCTACCTTTCAGAAATATGCCCTTTCATTCATAGGAGATATATAAGTACGTGTCCATATGCATACTATTTTGAGTCAGCGTTTTTCCTAATTTTCTAAATTTGAAATCTTGGTTGTTCATATACAAGAGGCCAGACTCAGCATCTATGAGATGTTTAGATTCAAAGGTATTCACGGCAGCGAAGCAGCTAACTCCTCCAAGCAAGAGCACCTAGGGGAGCTTGTGGAGCAGAGGAAAGCACGTTTTGCAGGATGTGGGCCGCAGGCATTCTGCATACAGATTTACTCCAAAGTTGGATATAGGAAATTAGTCCCTTTACTAGCAGTTGTCTTTGGCCTCTTGGAATAGCTGCTTTCTTAATCTGCTCTTTGTGTCCTGCCCAAGAACATTCTAGCTGTTCCAAAGGTTTTCTGGGTGTGCGCCTGTGCTTTCTATGTCAGTTTGTAAAGTAGGAGAGAAGCATCACGTGAGGTTGGATTAAGAAAATTTAGGTGTATTGCACCATATTGAAAGGGCCCTTTGATGAGTGGGAGCCTATCTTTTTTTTCAAAACTAGCGATTTTACTTTACATAAGCATTCGTCAAAAGCTGAGGGGAGTTCTTTGATGTTTCACGTGGTTTTTTCTACTTCCTCTCTTACAGATACAGAATTCATCTACAGAGAACAGAAGGGAACAGTGAGACTGTGGAATGTTGAAACAAATACTTCTACTGTCTTAATAGAAGGCAAAAAAATTGTAAGTACTCTCTTTAATGACCAGGATAATTTCGGTTTTTCTTCCTGCAAGTCAATAAAGCAGAAAATGACTTTTGGTTTCAACTTTTCGCATAGCCAAGGAGAAGCAATAAACTTGTAACACTACAGGCTGAGCAACCAAAGATAATGTGAAATTGAAACCACACTAATTTAATAAGATAAAAGCACTGTTTCTTTCAGTGTCCGGGAAATTTCTCTGCAGGTGTTGGGAACAAGTGTTGCATATCATATATAATTAAAAGATAAAGTCCTAAGGCTTTTACACATTTACAGAACAATTGCAATAATGCATGTAGAATACTTCAGGAGAATTTGCTCAATCCCGTTTAAAAAAAGCTCATCTCCACATGCATAGGAAGTATTAACTTAGGTACTGTGACTGTATTTACCCTAATTATATTAAGTGATGCTTATGCGTTAAAGCAAATACTGAGTCAATATGAATGCCACTGCTTTATAATTTGGGAAAACTTGTTTTCCCAAATATATGTATATTTTTTGAGACAGGATCTCGCTTCATTGCCCAGGCTGGAGTGAAGTGATGCAATCATGGCTCATTGCAGCCTTGACCTCCCAAGCTCAGGCAATCCTCCCACCTCAGCCTCCTAAATAGCTGGTACTACAGGCATGTGCCACCATGCCCAGCTAATTGATTTCGGTTTTGTTTGTAGAGATAGCGTCTCACAATGTTGCCCAGGCTGGTCTTGAACTCCTGTACTCAAGCAATCCTCCTGTCTTGGCCTCCCAAAGTGCCAGGATTACAGGCCTGAGCCACTGTATCTGACCCCAGAGATTTAAATGGCATTAAGATTTGATGTTCATGTGTGGTTAAAGATATGTATTAGAAACATTGACAGAAGTTATATACCAAAATCAATTTAAAGAGAATTAACGTTTTGTTTGTTTACAAAATGTTCAGACTCTTATTAGAATAAATAAATCTCCAACTCTAAGCAGTTGATTCTTTTCTTGTTTGAGACACTGGGGAAATCAAAGGACGGAACTAAGGTTAAATCTATGTTAAAAAGCAAGAATTGAAACAGGCTGTGAATCCTGAGTTACAGCGATCATAACAGGGCTCTGGTATGAATCAGAAACACAGAAATCCTAGAATCCTATAATCCAGGATTAGAGGAGGTTGTAAAAAAAAAAATTAATCGGTTCCCTGGTTTTACAGATGAGGATACTGAACCCAGACTTAGAGCATGAGTCTCCCAGCTCACTGATGGCTGAGGGAGCATTCAGGCCGGGTCCCAGAAGCCTGCATTCCAGGGAGAAGGAAGATGGCTTCATCTTTACCCCACCCCACCCCAGACCCAGAGAAATACTGTGCTGCCTTCCTCTCCCTCCTAAAGAACATGGAACTTGCTAGTTAAATACTGCCGTTTCTTTTCTTTTGCATAAAGATACATTTTATTAAAAAGTTTGCTGAGATTTAATATTAGGTGGATGCTGCCCTTAACATAGACTGCAGGTGTAAGGAAGGCCTCGCGCTGTTGGATGATGGCGTAGTTCCAAAAACCATCACTTGATTGAATGAAATAGTATTCTGCAAAGTAGGACCTAGGACAAATGCATGTGCCTGCATTTTTGCATTAAAAAATCATCTTTGGTAGAATTATTCCCTTAAGAGAATCTGATTCAACTCATTTAGAAATACTAACGTTGCAGAAATGGTTTTCTAATATTAATAGAGAGGATAAAATGATCAGACTGTTGCTGAGCGTGAGTGCGTTTTAATGTCAGAATGTTATTATTTCCTGTGAGGATGTCAGTTTAGTCAAGGCAGTGTTGTACAAAACAGCAGCACTTAGCAATGAAATACATGAATGTGAGCCGCCTTCTTGTTTTAAAATCAATAGCTTGTAACAGATCATATATTTTAACTGAAGTTATTTTAGCCAAGTCCCCTTTAATAAGGTGACTTCAGAAACCACCATGGGTAAAGAAAAGTCCTCATCTCACAAATTTGCTGGCTTATTCTATGTAATGCAATCCTTTTTTTTTTTTTTCCTTAAAATGTCATTTTTCCATTCATTTTATAAACATTTATTAAGCACCAAATGTGTACAGCCTAATGGGTTCATTATTCCTTTCTCAAAGCTACATTTAAATGCTCATGTCAACAGACTCAAAATAAAGAAAACAAAAAACGTGTCATTTAGCAGTCTGCATTCTAATTTAATTTAATCTGGATTTAATTTCCACAGAGCCACTTAGTCATTTAAAATTATCATGCCTCAATTGCTCTATCTCCAAATTAAAGCTGATTTCTTCTGCCAGCCCAGAACGTGGGTACTCTGTGAGATCCAGCAATGGAATATGTGTATGCTCTGTGTGTTTTCATGAGCAAGTACTGAGAAGGTGAAGCCTGGTGTTCCACAGGGGCCAGAGCTTGGAGGATCGTCCACAGCCCAAAGGAGGACGTTGGACTGGGAATGGGGAGCAGTAGCTCTTCCGTATTCTGTTCTCTTGCCTTCCTGGTGACTGATCAGGTGTTTTCTTCTCATTTGAATTCCAGAAGCTGTGAGCTTGTATAAATGATAAAAAGCAATCTGAGACCAACTGTAATTTTTAAGTTGGTCTATAAAACAGCCTTAAACAGATTGAGAAATGGAAAGGAATTGGTAAATTATATGGTCAGCAGAATTTTAAAATATTCCCTACAAACAACCTCTAATAACCTCATTCTCTTTCCCCACCCAGTAAAAACAGACCCTCATCATAACTGATCACTGCAAGGTACCAAAGCCTGTTTGCCTCCAGCTTCTTCTTTGCTCCTATGCTTACTGTGATTGGCTCTTACATGGGACAAGTAGATAGAAGGGCCTGCAAATCACTGCAAACATTATGTCAATCCAGCAAGAAAGCTTTTAAGATCGCTGGTGATTAAGCAAATTCAGAACTTGTGCTAAGTTCTGTATTTTCATGGAGGTATTTCACCTTGCCTCCCCCCAAACAATTTCTTTTGACTAAATGTACTAATTCAATCATCCTTTATTGTGCTTCTAAATGGTAGAAATCATGAAATATTTCACAATACCACAAACACTTTATATTGTTGAGTTCAGGCCAGGTGCAGTGGTTCATGCCTGTAATTCCAGCACTTTGGGAGGCCGAGGCGGGCAGATCACTTGAAGTCAGGAGTTCGAGACCAGTGTGGCCAATGTGGTGAAACGCTATCTCTACTAAAAATTAAAAAGTTAGCTGGGCTTGGTGGAGCATGCCTGTAATCCCAGCTACTTGGGAAGCTGAGGCAAGAGAATCACTTGAACCTGAGAGTTGGAGGTTGCAGTGAGTCGAGATTGTTCTACTGCACTCCAGCCTGGGCAACAGAGTGAGACTCCATCTCAAAAAAAGAAAAGGGTTTCTGTATGTGTATACATTTAAAATTCTATGATGATTATATTATGGTTCACAATTTGGGGGGTGTTCTTTTGAGAGAGAGAGATATATATATATGTATCTATAGTAGGCTATTTCTTAATCCTTATTATTTGTATATATAGATATATATATGTATCTATAGTAGGCTATTTCTTAATCCTTATTATTTGTATATATAGAGATATATATATGTATATATAGTAGGCTATTTCTTAATCCTTATTATTTGTATATATAGATATATATATGTATATATAGTAGGCTATTACTTAATCCTTATTATTTGTATATATAGATATATATATGTATCTATAGTAGGCTATTTCTTAATCCTTATTATTTGTATATATAGATATATATATGTATCTATAGTAGGCTATTTCTTAATCCTTATTATTTGTATATATAGAGATATATATATGTATCTATAGTAGGCTATTTCTTAATCCTTATTATTTGTATATATATATATATATATGTATCTATAGTAGGCTATTTCTTAATCCTTATTATTTGATAGCATATCATATTTGATGGTAGCTAAGAATTGAGTTTTAGAAAACATTTATCAAAATGTCTTGATCCATTTCCTCTTTTGAAAATTTTTGAAGTGTTTGTCTACATTTCTACAGAAAATGAATCAAATAAAGGTACAGTTGTCCCCAAAGCACAAGCACATCATCTCTGAAGCAGCTCTTCTCAGCTATACAGACCGCAGCCCAGTTCTAAACTCACTGGAGCAGGTTCTGTTTGGGATTTAATTTTGTCTCCCACATAATGCTCAGCACCATGACCTGCACATAGTAGGTGCTCCATTGCTATGTGTTTTATGAATGACTGCTCTAGAGTAACAAATCAATAGAGTTGAGCAGTTTTCCAGAAACATCCACGTGAGCGAGAGGTGTGGAGGTGCATTCAGCACTAGGGTCATGACTTTGAACTTGAGATCTACCTTCCAGCCTTGGCATTGTGCTCTGCTAGGGTCATGACTTTGAGCTTCAGATCTACCTCCTGGCATTGGCCTCGTGCTCTGCTCAGGAACAGCAGGACCCCAGCCAGGTGCACAAGGTCTGAATGTCCAGTCTTATCCCTCAGGAGTGTCATAGGACTGAATTACAGATGTAACAGCTGGAACGTGGGTATACGCCACATGTGGATTCCAGAGCATTAGGCTAGACCAGAGAGCCTGGGTCGGGCTCAAGGCCCAGGCAGGAGGAGTGGGGTGGTTCTATGAAGGAAGATACAGAGGATGACCAAGTCCAGAGGAGCATGGCAACGATGCTGCCGCATGTGGGTGGCTGCGTGGGTCCAGGCAGCAGCAGCAGACAGTGGAATCCATGCCCCTTTAGTTTTGAGGGCGATCCCTCATGAAGCTGGGGGTAGCCTGCATCCAGAGTGAGGCAGAGGCATCCAGAGCTGGTAATTACAGCAGGAGGCACGCTCAGAATTCTAAACATCAATAAACAATCAAACCTAAGCTCACTTTTACTTGAATTATGTGTTTGATGTCGCAGAAATTCTGTGACATTACACTTTACCCTTTAAAAAACAATTTTAGATGTCAATGTTATTTTATTTTTTATGCTCCTCATA